ACAGTCCATATAACACCCAGACTGAGCACACACAGTCCATATAACACCCAGACTGAGCACACACAGTCCATATAACACCCAGACTGAGCACACACAGTCCATATAACACCCAGACTGAGCACACACAGTCCATATAACACCCAGACTGAGCGCACACAGTCCATATAACACCCAGACTGAGCACACACAGTCCATATAACACCCAGACTGAGCACCCACAGTCCATATAACACAACACCCAGACTGAGCACAGACAGTCCATATAACACCCAGACTGAGCACACACAGTCCATATAATACCCAGACTGAGCACAAACAGTCCATATAACACCCAGACCCAGCACAGTCCATATAATACCCAGACTGAGCACAGACAGTCCATATAATACCCAGACTGACCATAGACAGTCCATATAATACCCAGATACCAAATGGTAGTTTGCTCACCTTTTCCAGAGCCAAAATAAGATACCTGGCTCTGGTTGGAACAGCTTGTTACCCACTAAGGGGGTGTACACCTTCTTTGGAGGTAGATGAAGTTGACAGCAAATGGGACTAAAAAAGATCCAATTGATTGATTTATTAAAGTATTCAAAATACACAAAACAATAAAACAATGTCCTTGTACTGAAAATATCCTCGAGACGCGTTTCGCCCTTTCCGCAGGCCTTCTCAATCAAAGTTCATCTACTCCTCATTCCCTCCCTCCTTTTAAATCCCAGTTCTGGTTTCTGATTGGTCTTCCCATTCGTTGGTTATCCTATCAAGTCTGTCGGTATTGTGTGTGTTTCATCTACAGCTGATTACGCTCATCACTCTGATTTCCGGAAGCGACGTCACGTCCATAGGTTAATATTGCCATATTTCTTACTGGCTTCTTGTCTTCTCTCGTGTCAAAGTCAGGATATGTGATGTCAATAAACACAAATATATTAACCCTTATATTGGATATAGCTCGTGTAGAGGGTAAAAAACAACAGATTACAGACAGTTAAAATATAATTAGAAAATACAACTAAAAATAAACAGACATTAGCAGATGGAGAACTGAATATACAGGTAAGTACAGGGAGTGCAGAATTATTAGGCAAGTTGTATTTTTGAGGATTAATTTTATTATTGAACAACAACCATGTTCTCAATGAACCCAAAAAACTCATTAATATCAAAGCTGAATATTTTGGAAGTAGTTTTTAGTTTGTTTTTAGTTTTAGCTATGTTAGGGGGATATCTGTGTGTGCAGGTGACTATTACTGTGCATAATTATTAGGCAACTTAACAAAAAACAAATATATACCCATTTCAATTATTTATTATTACCAGTGAAACCAATATAACATCTCAACATTCACAAATATACATTTCTGACATTCAAAAACAAAACAAAAACAAATCAGTGACCAATATAGCCACCTTTCTTTGCAAGGACACTCAAAAGCCTGCCATCCATGGATTCTGTCAGTGTTTTGATCTGTTCACCATCAACATTGCGTGCAGCAGCAACCACAGCCTCCCAGACACTGTTCAGAGAGGTGTACTGTTTTCCCTCCTTGTAAATCTCACATTTGATGATGGACCACAGGTTCTCAATGGGGTTCAGATCAGGTGAACAAGGAGGCCATGTCATTAGATTTTCTTCTTTTATACCCTTTCTTGCCAGCCACGCTGTGGAGTACTTGGACGCGTGTGATGGAGCATTGTCCTGCATGAAAATCATGTTTTCTTGAAGGATGCAGACTTCTTCCTGTACCACTGCTTGAAGAAGGTGTCTTCCAGGAACTGGCAGTAGGACTGGGAGTTGAGCTTGACTCCATCCTCAACCCGAAAAGGCCCCACAAGCTCATCTTTGATGATACCAGCCCAAACCAGTACTCCACCTCCACCTTGCTGGCGTCTGAGTCGGACTGGAGCTCTCTGCCCTTTACCAATCCAGCCACGGGCCCATCCATCTGGCCCATCAAGACTCACTCTCATTTCATCAGTCCATAAAACCTTAGAAAAATCAGTCTTGAGATATTTCTTGGCCCAGTCTTGACGTTTCAGCTTGTGTGTCTTGTTCAGTGGTGGTCGTCTTTCAGCCTTTCTTACCTTGGCCATGTCTCTGAGTATTGCACACCTTGTGCTTTTGGGCACTCCAGTGATGTTGCAGCTCTGAAATATGGCCAAACTGGTGGCAAGTGGCATCGTGGCAGCTGCACGCTTGACTTTTCTCAGTTCATGGGCAGTTATTTTGCGCCTTGGTTTTTCCACACGCTTCTTGCGACCCTGTTGACTATTTTGAATGAAACGCTTGATTGTTCGATGATCACGCTTCAGAAGCTTTGCAATTTTAAGAGTGCTGCATCCCTCTGCAAGATATCTCACTATTTTTGACTTTTCTGAGCCTGTCAAGTTCTTCTTTTGACCCATTTTGCCAAAGGAAAGGAAGTTGCCTAATAATTATGCACACCTGATATAGGGTGTTGATGTCATTAGACCACACCCCTTCTCATTACAGAGATGCACATCACCTAATATGCTTAATTGGTAGTAGGCTTTAGAGCCTATACAGCTTGGAGTAAGACAACATGCATAAAGAGGATGATGTGGTCAAAATACTCATTTGCCTAATAATTCTGCACTCCCTGTATAATGGCTTTAAACCTATGTACATTATATCGATATTTATTTTAAGAATAAGACTATATAAGTCTTCTGATTAAGAAGATTTGATACAATTAAACACAGTTCTTCATCTTGCCTATACACATAACCCAAGATCTTAAAATAGCAATTCATTACAGTAATATATTAAAATATTAAAAACTTGGCTACGAGAAATCTCATAGCATTACATTAGAAATCACAAGATAGCCCCTCTCAGGCCCAATTATTGGCTAAACTAGAACAGTTCTACAGGTACGAAAAAATGGCAGTACTGACTTCGCAGAATATGCAGGAGTTCATAGGTAACTGGGAGGAATGGGAGAGGGAGTTTGGGCGAGGCAGACAGGGACCAAGTGGAAGTCCACCACCGACCCAACATATCAACCCAAAGTAACCAACGGGATGTCTCCTCAACTGCCCGACCATACACGTGAACATTTATATATGTAAGGCCAAGGCAAACTACTGACATACTCAAACCCCGCTCCACCTCTCCTAATCCCATTTGTGAATCCCATGCCCCCCCTCTTACACCAAGTTCTTCCAAAGGTTTAAAGGTTTAAAAATAATATCAGGAAGTATTACTTTACTGAGAGGGTAGTGGATGCATGGAATAGCCTTCCGGCTGAAGTGGTAGAGGTTAACACAGTAAAGGAGTTTAAGCAGGCCCGGACTGGCCATCGGGCACAGCGGGCAAATGCCCGGTGGGCCGCGGTGTCCATGGGCCGAGGCCGGCAGGGGAGGTCCCAGGATCTCCCCTGCCGGTCTATGCAGGGCCGGCACTCTCCCAGCGCCGGCCCCGCTTTGTGCCACGACGGGCCGGTGGGGAGATCAAGGATCTCCCTGACCGGCCCACATGCGGCCGCCGGCGGGGAGAGAGAGAGGGAGGGAGCCAGCCAGCCAGGCTGGAGAGAGGACCCGGCGGAGCTCTAACTTGCAGCTCCGCCGGGTTCCTCTCGCGAGATCCGGCGCGTTGCCATGGCAACGACCGGATCTCGCGAGAGTGAACTCTAGCCTCACAGGCTAGAGTTCACTCACCCACGAGGACCACCAGGGAACACTGCCACCCCGCCTGCCAGCGTGCCGGTCCCCCCCGCCCAGGCTAAAGGTAAGAAGGGAGGGGGGGACATAATGCCTGTTTTTTTTATTTTATTTTTTTTTATTTACCCCCCCCTACACACACACACAATAACATTTATACAGCACTCTCACACCCATCACACACAGCACTCTCACACCCATCACACTCACAGCACTCTCTCACAGAGCACTCTCACACACACACAGCACTCTCTCACACAGCACTCTCACACCCATCACACACAGCACTCTCACAGAGCACTCTCACACACTCACAGCACTCTCTCACACAGCACTTTCACACACAGCACTCTCTCACAGAGCACTCACACACACACAGCACTCTCTCACACAGCACTCTCACACCCATCACACACAGCACTCTCACAGAGCACTCTCACACACACACAGCACTCTCACACCCATCACACTCACACCCATCACACACACAGCACTCTCTCACAGAGCACTCTCACACACACACAGCACTCTCACACCCATCACACACAGCACTCTCTCACAGCACTCTCTCACAGCACTCTCTAACAGCACTCTCTAACAGCACTCTCACAGAGCACTCTCACAGAGCACTCTCACACACACACAGCATTCTCTCACACAGCACTCTCACACCCATCACACTCACAGCACTCTCACAGAGCACTCTCACACACAGCACTCTCACACCCATCTCACACAGGGCACTCTCACACGGCACTCTCACACCCATCACTCACACCGCACCCTCACACACACACACATACTGCACCCCTCACATACACACAGAACCCCCCCAACACACTGCACCACACACATACACAATACTTCCAAATATATATGTGTGTGTGTGTGTGTGTGTATATATATATATATATATATATATATATACACACACACACACACACACACACACAACACTCTTAAAGGACCACTCTAGCCACCCAGAACACTTCAGCTTAATGAAGTGGTCTTGGTGCTAGGTCCTTCTAGGGTTAACCCATTGTTTTATAAACATAGCAGTTTCAGAGAAACTGCTATGTTTATCAATGGGTTAAGCCTTCCCCCAAAACCTCTAGCAGCTGTCTCATTGACAGCCGCTAGAGGTGCTTGCGTGCTTTTCACTGTGAAAATCACAGTGAGAGCACGCAAGCGTCCATAGGAAAGCATTATAAATGCTTTCCTATGCGACCGGCTGAATGCGCGCGCAGCTCTTGCCGCGCGTGCGCATTCAGCCGACGGGGCGGATCGGAGGAGGAGAGCTGGAAAAAGGTAAGTTTTAACCCCTTTCCAGAGCCGGGCGGGAGGGGGTCCCTGAGCCACATATGCATCACATTACACCACAAACACAACACGACTAAAACCGACCTTATTACACAATACCACACCACGACCAGCTCACTCTACACACATGCAATACCACAAGCAGGCTCCAAACACATGCACAATACTCTTTCCTGGCCTTTTGTCTCCTGGTATCCATTTATAGAGACACCAGAGACAAGTTGCAAGGAAACACAGTGCAAGCATGTTATTAAATTTGCTTGCACTGTGCAGAACAAATACAGGACTTTTTTCTCATGCTAGAGCTCTTCAGCAGAGCTCTGCGCATGGTCTGCCCTGGAAGAGCATTGAACCAACATGCTCACTTTGAGAGGAGGCGTGTTTGTCATTGGTGATGACAAAACACACCTCCTATGCCCCGCCCCCTTTTTAGTGGGCCGCTGTGTTAAAAAAATGCCCGGGCCGAATTTTTCTCCCAGTCCGGCCCTGAGTTTAAGCATGCGTGGGGATAGGCATAAGGCTATCCTAACTATAAGATAAGGCTAGGGACTAATGAAAGTATTTAGAAAATTGGGCAGACTAGATGGGCCGAATGGTTCTTATCTGCCGTCACATTCTATGTTTCTATGTTTCTTAAACCCCAAAGTAAGGTACACTCAGGTTACCCACTAGTTAGCGTAGCACAAGCTACACCATAACTCTGCATACTCTACGGGTACTCGACTGGTGTATACCATCTAATAGTAGTGGTATATTGGAATGCTAACAAATACAGCTAATAGCAAACCACCGTATTTATAGAAAGAACACCCTGAACAGGTGGAGACCTGTCACCAGCATTGTCACAATATCCCCAAAAGTACCATAACAGAGGTGAATGTAAAAATAAATCAAGATTATACTGAAATTTGCTATACCGAGGTGAATGTTGACATATATGCTTACTCGCTGCAATGTGGCAATTTAGCTATTGTTGATATACCCATGATATGTGTACCCTAACTAATAGTGATGTCCCGAACGGTTCGCCGAATGGTTTGCCGCGGACGGCGAACATATGCGCTGATCGGCCCGCCCCCTATGTCATTGTGGCGAAACCGACCTCGCCACTGGGCATTGGAGAAGACTGATTGCCAGCCTCCTGCCATGTGACTATGGCCCCTGGGATGTATTGCCCTTTAAAGACATGATTTGGGCATAATGGATTTGTGTTGTGCTGCTGCTGGCCCTTTGAGAACCATCTGGGGACATACTGTGGAGTTACTGATTTTCACAGTGAGAGCACGCCAGCGTCCATAGGAAAGCATTATGAATGCTTTCCTATGTGACCGGCTGAATGCACGCGCAGCTCTTGCTGCGCGTGCGCATTCAGCCGAGGGGGAGGAGAAGAGGAGGATCGGAGAAGGAGAGCTCTCCGCCCAACGCTGGAAAAAGGTAAGTTTTACCCCCTTTCACCCTTCCAGAGCCGGGCGGGAGGGGGACCCTGAGGTTGGGGACACCCTCAGGGCACTATAGTGCCAGGAAAACGAGTATGTTTTCCTGGCACTATAGTGGTCCTTTAAACTGTATCTTCCAAAGTACTGAACGGATCTGGGTGAATTTTGGATGTGTGGTTCACCCAGATCCCCCGGTTCCAAGGATATACTTTTTGTGGGGTTGTTGCGTGTTTTGGGGTCCCTGTGATGTGTTTTATGAAACTGTATTTCTCTGTCTGTGATAATTAGATTACCCATTGTGTAAGGTAATTGTATCACAGGCAGAGGGGAGGATTTTGTGTGGGAGTGTCTGTGTGTATTGTACAGATTGATTGGTTGTTCTGTAAAACCCTGTTGGCAGTACTAAGTTTGTGGATTGGGAATAAAAGAGGCTGTATGTGCCAGTACAGTCAGTTCCTGCTTAACCCTCAAAGTGAAGTGTCGTCTCATTATTGGGGGAGGATTTATTGTATGCTGTTCCAGTTTGACTGCTAGGAGTGTAAACCTATTCGCATGGTTTTTCCTATTCAGCTATATACAATATTCATATGCTTGAGAGCATTCATATGCTCCTATGGTTCGGTGGTTTTGGTGTCTGCTGCAGTGCTTGGAGTCCTCAGGAAGTGCTAGGAGCATCCTTCAACGGAGGTACCCAGTTGGGGTGCCAGGTGATCCGTTACAGTCATCATTGAGTAAACTTTGACCCTGTACCTCACAGTCAGCAGACACATTCCAGCCAATCAGCAGCAGACCCTCCCTCCCAGACCCTCACACCTCCTGGACAGCATCCATTTTACATTCATTGTGAAGCTGCATTCTTAGTGAGCTGTCCAGGAGGTGGGAGGGTCTGGGAGGGAGGGTCTGCTGCTGATTGTCTGGAATGTGTCTGCTGACTGTGAGGTACAGGGTCAAAGTTTACTCAATGATGACGAATAGGGGGCGGACCGAACAGCGCATATGTTCGCTGTCCATGGCGAACCGTTCAGGACATCACTACTAACTAACCTACCCCCTCTTCTCTTTTGTACCCCAAATTTCTTTCTATAAAACAATAAAATATAAATTATAAAAAAATAAAAAAAATATATAAAAAATTATAAAAAATGATATAGCTCAAAGTCACTGTTTAACCCATAGCGGAGGAGGGAATTTAAATTAAAGATCCATCCAATCTACGATTTGCCCATTGCAGTGATGAGATCTTCTCCCCTCCAATTGATCTCAACTTTCTGTATCCCCAAAAATTTACGTTGACTTGGGTCTCTATTGTGTTTTAACTTAAAATGGTTGGAAAGGCTGTGTTTTTCAAATCCTATTTGGATATTCCGAACATGCTCCTGAATTCTCACATGTAGTGCCCTGGTAGTTCTTCCTACATAAATGAGACCACATGCAAAAGTGATTACATAGATAATTATTTTTGAATGGCACGTAATAAGTTGTTTTATGGGAAACGTTTCTTTCAGATTTTTTGGATGTATGAATTCTTTAATGTGTCTTTTTTTATTTTTCGTATTGACACATGCCCCACAATTACCGCACCCATAGAAGCCTGCTTCTTCATTAAAAAAATGATTTGGGCCCAGCAGCCCCTGCTGGTGAAAAAAGTTTAAAATAAATAAAATAAAGTTCATAAATTTAAAAAAATATATATATATACACATCATACTAAGTGTATTTTTTTATTAATATATACATATATTAATATAAAATACACTTATAGTAAAATTACACACACATATATATATATAATATATAATAACTATATATATATATATATTGTATATATATTTGTAGTCGGCGACCAAAGCCGTATCTATGATAAGTTAGATATATGAGCAAGTCAGTTGTGGTGTGCTGAAACCGACGTATCGGGTAGGCCTGTAATTAAAGAGGGCCCACCTGTAATAGTAATATGTATAATGGGAGAGATGAACCCTGCAGCATCAGCCCTGTGGTGTAGGGGGCCTGAGTTTAAATAGCCGGGTAATGCCTCCCACAACTTTAGGCTCCGCCTTCCAATTTGTAGTCAGGGACCAAAGCCGTATCTATGATAAGTTAGATATATGAGCAAGTCAGTTGTGGTGTGCCGAAACCGACGTATCGGGTAGGACTGTAATAAAAAAGGGCAAAAAATTGAATAAAATAACCTTATTACATATCTCTACGTAGCAAGATTCATAAAGGCTTGTCTACTCAAGTCTAGCTCTGGTTGTGGTATGTATCTAGTAATATACTGCGGATTTCCAACATCCTAATGTTTATGATGTGAGCAGGGACATTTGTCTAGAAGCAGCTGATGCTGAACGAATGTCTCGAAAAGGCATTGTGGTTGAGTCCCCACCTAGCTTAGAGTGTTCTGAGATACATTATGAATTTAGCTGTAGTGAGTTGTTTGCCCTGCAGTGTAAATAGGGGCATATTGAGGTTTAGTCCAGTGAGTGATAACCTGTAAAGGTCTGGCATTTTTGACCGGGCACCTTATTGTCCATAGGATAGTACCTTATATCCGTACGATCGTCACATGGTAAAAGGATGTGAACTGTTTGGTACTAGGATGAGGATATTTATTGATGGTATCGCCGGCTGCTCCATTGTCAGAGAAGCACTTGACAGTTTCCCCTATCCACTCATACCCCCAGGCCTTGTAGGTGGCACTATGGGGTAGATTCCAAACAATGCTGAGGAGGAATGGAAAGATTTTATCCAAGAGTCTCAACTGGCCAGGAATCTCAGAAAAATAAGTCACCAAATTGACTGTGAAACCAGTGTGTGTGGCTGCATTGGTCCATGTAACTGGAGAATGTTGAGAAATGGCAGGAATAACCTGGCCTACTATTTCAGTGTGGTATGAACCTGAGCCATATGGGTAGGTCTGCTTTAGTAAGCACAACTAGTGCCAAAATGCAACTGTCGGTGGGAAGAAGACACAGTGGTCGGGAAATAAATGTGCGGCACTGAGGAATAATTCTCATGATGAAGTCCAACGTGCCCAGTAAGGACTGTAGATCCCCCCAGGTACATGTGCTCTTCGCAAGAAAAAGGTTCCCCGGACTCCGTTGCACTGTATCTTCTCTGTAGGTGGAAATGTTCTGTAGCTTGATAGGGTCAAGAATGAATGCCTAAGAAGATCAGTTTGTGAAAGTGGAACCCCTA